CTCTAATAAATTTGTTAGTCTCTAAGGTGCCACAAGTACTCCTGTTCTTTTTGCGGATTCAGACTAACACGGCTGCTACTCTAAAACCTGTTAATAAATGAAATACTGAGTTTGAAACCATTATAATTTCTCCATTTATTAAAAGTAGACATAAGTAATCATGGTACAAAACTACTCATTAAAGCAATATCCAACAGCTTTTCTTTTCTTTTTAACTCTAGGCCCTCCCCCAATAAAAATGTTGTCTATGCCCAGCTAAATGTTCCAGGGTGTTTCTTTATGTGCAAATTGTCCAATGACCTGAAAAGATACGCAAGAGCTGGAAGAAAAGGTCATTTGTGGCTCTGTGCCTGTATAATGTGTAATCTCCATATTGCTGAAGTCTTTTTTTTCCCAATCATAAAATAACAATGAAGACTCGATAGAATATTCTATTTTCTTTTTTTCTCATTACCGTAGCGCTTTTTCTGATAGAATCAAGTTCATTTCCCTGTGAAAGGAAAATAGCACTGATTAAAAAATTTTTAATAAACTTGAGGCACCTGCCTTAGATGGAAAATCCCCCCCCCCCCCCCCACACACACTTTCTTATCAGACTTAAAATTGAGCCTTTGTGGCAGTGATGTGTGAAACCAAAGATATTCTAATGGTAGAAATTCTTAAAGATTTTATTTTCCATGATCTCTGTGGAGAAGAATGAACTTGTGCTTAAGGTTCAGGACTGGATTGGACAGTCTGGGTTTGTTGTCCTGTACAGCTTTTCAAGTCATTCAAAGTCTTTATTTTGGATGCCTCCGTTTCTTAAAAACTTAGGAACTGATTTCCACTCCCCACCCCCAGTGGTTCTGAACATTTACAGCTCCAATTAGCTGTGTGTGCTCAGCTACTCTGAAATTCAGGCCCTAAGTGTCCCAGTCTGAGCTCCTGAAATTAGGTTACCACTGAAAATTCAGGCTTCCACCTCTTTGTGTCTGTTTCCCCATCTGTAAAACGGGTTGAGTAGAGGCACTCCCTCCCTGTGCTTTACATTGCACCTTGTTATACTCTTCTGTTGCCCTTCCTACTATAACCCTGCCTTTTGATTGCCTCACAATGTAAGTTATGCTCTCTTGCAATAACATACACTTAAATTACATGACCATTTACATACACTTCAAGCAAAATTCAGAGTTGCTAACGCACTTCTAGTCCTACAGGCCTGTATAACTTAAGTAAGAAGAATTGCATATTTTTAGCTTTCTCCGAGGGCCCCACAGTGGCATATAAATGTGCATCCCCCACTTCTGTTACAAAGTAAATTTCTTTATTATTGCTATTTGCATTACAGTAATGCTTGGAGGCACTAGCAACAATCAAGGCCCCACTGTGCTGAACACCTAGTAAGAGTTGGTCCGTGTCCTGAAGAACTTGGTCTTACACGACAAAGGAAGTGCTCTTCTTCCCATTGTACAAATGAGAGACTGAGGCACAGAGAGATTGTGACTCATCCAAGGTCATACCAGGCATCTTTGGCAGAGCCAGGGAGCTAGACCCAATTCTCCTGAGTCCCAGTGCAGTGCATTATCCACAAGACCTTCTTCCCTAGCTCCTTTCTGTTGCACTCGATGGCTTTTTTCCCTTGTCTGTCTTTTTGCTTTCTATTACCACATTAGTAAATTATTTCAGAGCCATATAATAACCTTAGGTATGCAACAAAGTATTAAAGGCCATATCCTGCACTTGATATGTATCCTACCATTGAAGTCAGCTGGAACCAGGCCTCTACCAAAATTTGGCCTAGTCATGTGCTTATAATGGACCAATCCTGTAAACGCTTAAGCACATGCATAAATTGACTCATCTGACTAGTCCTGTTGATTTTGATGGGACTGTTCATGTGAGTATTTAGACGTGCAGGATTGGGAGGGGCATAGTTTTCTGGGTACTTTTCTAATAGCTGAACACACTGCTGTCTTACAGAGAATTGTTTATAATGCAGTTCATTCTGTTGCTGGGGTGGGGGGTTGGGAATAGGAATGTGTATTTGTTATAAACCACGTTTCATGGTTTATATAAACAGGCAGTCCAGTGTTCCCTCTACTTTTTCCCACCCATGTGCAGAATTACACATCACCTCCATCTTGGTGCACAACAAAATTCATGTGGCGGGGTAGGGCCGAGGGGTTCAGAGTGTGGGAGAGGGTTCAGAGCTGGGGCAGAGGGTTGGGGTGCGGGGGAGGGGGGGTGAGGGCTCCAGCTGGGGATGCGTGCTTTGGGGTGGGCCCGGGGATGAGGGGATTGGGATGTGGGTGGGTGCTCAGGGCTAGGGCAGAGGGTTGGGGTGCGGGGAGGGTGTGGGCTCTGGGGTGGGGCCAGGGATGAGGGGCTTGGGGTGCAGGCTGTCCCAGGGCTATGGTGGAGAGAGAGGACTCCCCCCGCTCTCTCTTCCCGCAGCAGCACCTGGGCTGGGGAGAAGGAGTGCCTCTCCCCGCCACGGCAGATCCGGCCGGGCCGGGGGAAGGGCTCCTTTCCCCGCCAGCTCTGGCAGGGCTGGGCTGGGGGAAGGGCTCCTCGATCCGGCTGCTCTGGAGGGGCTGGGCCAGGCCAGGCCAGGGGACCTGCATGGCCCTACATAGCCTGCTGCTCGGCTGCACAGCCACGCAGCTTACAGGGAACCTAGGCAGGCACCCATAAATCATGTGTCCCTCTCCACTCTCCCATATATGCAATTTATAACTAGTTAATGACTTAAATACATTGACATGCCACTGCTGTCTAAATCAGGGATGGGCAAACTACTGTTGAGGACTGCATCCGGCCCTCCATATGTTTTAATCCGGCCCTCGAGCTTCCGCTGGGGAGCGGGGTCAGGAGCTTGTCCCGCTCCGCGCAGCTCCTGGAAGCAGCAGCATGTTTTCCCTCCGGTTCCTACGTGTAGGGGCAGCCAGGGGGCTCCGCACACTGCCCCTGGCCAAGCGCGGCCCCCGCAGCTTCCATTGGCCGGGAACTGTGGCCAATGGGAGCTGCCGGGACGGCACCTGTGGATGGGCAGCGTGCAGAGCTGCCTGGCCATGTCTCCACGTAGGAGCCATGGGGGGGACATGCCGCTGCTTCTGGGAGCTGCTTGAGGTAAGCGCCGCCCAGAGCCTGCACCCCGACCCCCTATAGTGCCCCAACCCCCTTTCCCAGCCCTGATCACCCTCCAAACCCCTCGGTCTCAGCCCAGAGCACCCTCCTGTACTTCCAACCCCTCATCCCCAGCCCCACCCCAGACCCCGCACCCCCAGCTGGAGCCTTCACCCCCTCCCGCACCCCAACCCCCAATTTCGTGAGCATTCATGGCCCGCCATACAATTTCCATACCCAGATGTGGCCCTCGGGCCAAAAAGTTTGCCCACCTCTGGTCTAAATGGTCCTCAAGAGACAATGAAGAATCTCTTTTTGGTATATTTCCAACTTTGGAGTTGGTTTCTCTCCCCCTACCCCTACAGATGTTCTGTAGATTACTTCAGTGACAACAGGTGATACCATCTTAAATCACGCTGAGGCCCTGTCTAGACTGGAGATTAGCCCCAGGTTCTCATGCAAATCATGACTTTCCCTGTCTACATTAGGGGTTTGCATGGTGCAGCTATGCTGAAATAGGAGGTAATTGCCAAGTTAGAAAAGGCCCCAAACTGATTTTGAAATGGACTTACCTTGAACTACTTTTAAAACCAATTTGACAATGCTCCTGGTGTAAACAAGCCCCTGGTGTATGGCTTTACTCCTGGAAGCATGGGACCTTGTCCTGTTCTTTTTTTCATTTGGATTGAAGCACCTGTAATTTTCAGAGGAGGGGCATGAATGATAAATTAGGAGCCATGATCCTTAATTGTCGATTAATAGTCTGGCATGTTGTGCGTTCTTGACTTACAGACATCAAATAAAGTACAGGAACCTGGGGAAAACTCCCATTTCTTCAATGTTCCTGTCTTCCTGACGGTCTCTGGACAACTCCATCTGGAAGTGATGGCTGGGTATGGAAATCTTTTCTCTTGACCTAATGGAGTCTCATAAAACTCTGTCACAGCTTCAGTCCACTAGACTTTCTTTCACATGTTCCACCTTCCGTGTGCTTGCCAAACACCCAGTTGAGCAACATTTTGTGGTCAGTGCTGGAGAGTCCAAATCACTGTTTGGAGAAAGCTGGATTCCATTTGAATTCTGGAGAACGAGTTAGGGTGTAAATTTAAGATACATACACTCCTCCATCCCCCCTGAAGAAGGTCAATGAGAGGTTGGCACAGAGATCCAGGCTGGGACATGACTTTTATGTAATAACTTAGTTATTATCATTATCTGTTATTTGTCCAGGACCTTATGATCACATCCAGCATCGCTCAATGGGGAAATCTGTTTCCATTTAGGCCAGTGCTGTTCCTGTTCTTTGTTTCTCTTCCTTCCCCATCCTCCTTTCTCTGTTTCTATCCCTTTTCCCTGTATTTGTGTGCTTCCTCTCTTCTTCCCTCTGCATCTTCTTCCCTGCAGAACTCTCCATGCTTACCATACTTTCGCTCCCAACACCTCCCCTTTTCCAGCTGTGAAAAGTAATCAGCAATTGAATAGTTGATGATATTGCAGTGTTGTCATTAGCCTTCAGTGTTAACACCCCCTGAGATTTAGGGGATGTGAGAATTCACACCTACCAGTGCCACTGTTTCAGCCTCTCTGCATACTCGGGTCTGGTCTACACTAAGCTTTCACAATGATTTAAGTTAATTGTGTCAGTGTCATTCTGTTGACACAAAGGTGTTTCTCTCAGGGCTTATCTTCATTACCGGGGAGATCTACACTGCTGCAATCAATGCAGCGGTTGTCAATTTAGCGGGTCTAGTGAAGACCCACTAAATTGACAGCAGAGTGCTCTCTGGTCGGCCCATCTTACTCTTCTTGGGGAGCTTGAGTAGTGAAGTTGACTGGAGAGCGTCTCCCAGCGACGCAGCGCAGTGAAGACACCAGGGTAAGTCAACCTAAGCTACATCAACTCCAGCTACATTATTCACGTAGCTGGAGTAGCGTACCTTAGGTCGACTTACCCCGGTAGTGAAGACAAGCCCTCACTATAGCTGCATTGAACTGATTAAGTCTGTGCTTCTCCTGATTGAACGAAATTGGTGTAAAAACTGAGCATTTAGCAGGCCTCAGAAAGACAGCAGTGTGTCAGCTGACCACGCAGAGCACATTAGGAAGGTTATCCTCGTAACCACGGGGGAGAGAAACCTTTATTTTTTAATAAACGCTTTGGTTCTGAAGAATTGAATGTTCAATGGCATCCTCAGAAATACATCACACAGGCTGGATGTAGCCCACAAGTCAGGTGTTTGAAATCTCTGAGTTAGAGAACAGGATGGGGAGACTTGGGTGCTAGTGTGATCTCTACTGCATATTTGCTGTGTGACCCTGGCAAGAGGCATTCTTGCCTCAGTTTGCCCACTGAAGAACTGGGTATAATAACCTACTTCACGCTGCTGTTGCAAAGTTAATTGATTGTCAGTAAACAATCTTCCTCTGATAGAGTCCAGGCCAGAGAGAAGTAAAACTTGTATAGTATCGTATATCCATTGAACGCTATGGGTGAAATCCTGATCTCGGTGAAATCAATTGCAGAACTCCCCATCACTGCAATAGGGCCAAGATTTCACCCTTAGAGATTGAGGATATAAGGTGCTGTGGAAGTTTCACTTCTCTCTGGCTTGGGCTCTAACAGCCCACCAAAGCGGCTGAGGTGCTCGTGCTAAGTTTTCACGAGAGTGGATATGCTTGGCAGAGTGTCCTTGATATGCTCTTTGACTTGCTGCCCCTGCTGTTCTGACAGAAGTGGAGCTTACTGACAGCCTAAGGCTAGTATATCCTCCAGGGCAGTTGTCTGCAGGATGGGGAGCTGATGAGAGAGTTGAGAGAAGGCTGGTTATTTGTAGGGGGGGAGGTGTCTTTCTGCACCTCTGAAAAAAGGTGGGATTTTATTTGTGTGTGTGGTGACATTACATCCATGCCCAGTGACCTTTATTGGAGGACATACTCCTATAAATCAAATAAGGATGAAATGGTATTTTAACGTAATAACATCTCCATTAAATTAGTCTCTTTTCTCAGAATAGCACACAGCCTACTCTGGGACTAGACAGAAAATTAATTGAACAAATACTGGGTCTTCTAAATATTACTCCAGTGGCATCATTCAGATGTTCCGCATTATCTAAAAAGGAAAAAAAAATGTGGGGCCTTGCCTCACACAGTACAGTATGTTATAGCTTCATGCTTTATTCTGCATTAACATGTTGTTTTTCCAGGCATTTTAAATGACCAAATGTCAACTAAATTTAGATGAGCTATATTTATCCTTGATGATCTATAGCTGTTCTGTGAACCTGCTCCTCTTATTTTTTTTTGTTAAGTACAACATATTTCTGAGGTTTATAACCGAAATGCTATTAAATAGCTCAATCTTCAAAAACAGACCAAGTGAGAAGTCCCTGTTGGCTCAAAAATATCAGTCATTGAGATACACCTCTACCCCGATATAACGCTGTCCTCGGGAGCCAAAAAATCTTACTATGTTATAGGTGAAACCGCATTATATCGAACTTGCTTTGATCTGCCGAAGCACTGCTTTACCACGTTATATCTGAATTCATGTTATATCAGGTCGCGTTATATCGGGATAGAGGTGTACATCATAGTTTCGTTGAGATATTAACTGTGACATAAGAGCTGCCATACTGGGTCAGACCACGGTCCATCTTGCCCAGTATCCTGTCTCCATCAGTGGCCTATGCCAGAGCTTCGGGGTGGGTGTACAGAACAGGGCAATTAAGGAGTGATCCACTTATCTTCCGCTTCTTGTAGTCAGAAGTTTAGGGTTGTTCCAAGCATGGGGTGGAATCCCTGACCATCTTGACTAATAGCCATTGATAGACTTATCGTCCATATAGCTTATCTAGTTCTTTTTTCAACCCAGTTATACTTTTGGCCATCACAACATCCCATGACAACGAGTTCCACAGGTTAATTGTGCATTGTGTGAGAAATTACTTCCTCTTGCTGCCTGTTAATTTCATTGGATGACCCCTGGTTTTTGTATTGTGGGTAAGAGAAAACACTTCTCTATTCACTTTTTCCATACCATTCATGATTTTATAGACCTTTATCATATGCATTATGATATTTTCAGTCTCATTATCTATCCTTTTCCTAAAAGTTCCTAACTTACTGTTAGCCTTTTTGACTGCTGCTGCGCATTGAGTGAAAGTTTTCAGAGAACTGTCCACGGTGATTCCAAGATCTCTTTATTGGGTGATAACGGCTAATGTATAACCCATCATAGTATTTATAGAGTTGGGATTATTTTTTCCATTGTGCATTACTTTGCACTTATCAATGTTGAATTTCATCTGTCATTTTGTTGCCTAGTCACCTAGGTCAGGTCTTCACTTTTGTAACTCCTAGCAATCTGCTTTGGACTTACAAAATTATTCAAGATAGTTATCATCTGCAAACTTTGCCACTTTACTTTTCATCCCCTTTTCCAGACTGTTAATGAATATTAATGAATATGTTGAACAGCACAGATCCCAGTACAGATCCTTGGGGGACCTCGCTGTTCATCTCTCACCATTGTGACTGTTTATTCCTAACCTTTGTGTCCTATCTTTCAACCAGTTACTGATTCATGAGAGGACCTTTCCTCTTATCCCATGGCTGCTTTACTTTCCTTAAGAGTCTTTGGTGATGGAATTTCTCAGCGGCTTTCTGAAAATCCAAGTACGCTGTATCAACTGGATCACCCTTATCCACGTGTTTGTTGACTCCCTCAAAGAATTCTAATAGATTGGTGAGGCGTGATTTCCCTTTACAAAAACCGTGTTGACACTTCCCCAACAAACCATGTCCATTTATGTGTTGGATAATTCTGTTCCTTATTATAGTTTCAACCAGTTTACCCGGTACTGAAGTTAGGCTCACCAGCCTGTAATTGCCAGCATCTCCTATCAAGTCCTTTTTATAAATTGGCCTGACATTAGCTACCTTCCAGTCATCTAGTACAGAAGCTTCTTCTTCTTTCTTCTTTTTTCTTTATGCCGCTTTTCCTGGTGAGTGTCCTGGCGGCGGCAGCATGGAGAGTAGGGAGGACCAGACCTCCCTTTCCTCCACAACAGGTGTCAGCTGCTTCTGGGGGATTCTCCAGCGTTCCCAGGCCAGCAGGGAGATATAATCCCTCCAGCATGTGCTGGATCGGCCTCGGGGCCTCCTCCCAGTGGGACGTGTTCAGTAGAGTTCCAAAGGAGGCCTCCCAGCGGGCATCTTTATCAGGTGCCCAAACCACCTCAACTAGCTGCTCTCAATCCGGAGGAGTAGCAGCTCTACTCCAAGGTTCTCCCGAATAGCCGAGCCCCTCACCCTATCTTGGAGAGTAAGCCCACCCACCCTGCGGAGAAACCTCATTTCCGCCGCTTGTACCCGCGATCTCGTCCTTTCGGTCATTACCCAAAGTTCATGACCATAGGTGAGGATGGGGACATACATTGACCTTTAAACCAAGAGCTTTGTCCTGGTTCCTAAGGATTTTTGGGGAAAACCCTGTTCCATCTTCCCCATGTAGCCAGATCCTGCCCTGGCTTGCTTTGGAAACAGGAGTGGGCAGATACCTTCAGAAGTCTATTAGTAGCAGGGATGGAGCAAAACAGGGATGGAAGACAGGAAATAGCTATGGGTTCAGATACCCTCCAACGGGGGCAGTAAGAAACAGGAAAGCAGGGCTTATGAAGAGCATTGAAGAGAGCTTATTGAGAAGATGGAAGAGAGTGTGGTTGGGTTGAATGGGTAAAAGCAGAGGTTCCTCAGCTGCTCTTCCCAAGCATAGAGCCATTGGGATGAGCAGACAGTTTGTTGGTAAATAGCCTTTGGGAACAGTTTTGGATATTTCTCTTTCTTCCCTGTGCCTCACTGCAAATTCTTTAGTGACCCACAAGGTCTTGCA